GATATTGCAGTGCTTGTACGTACACGACGTCAGACGGTAGTGAAACGAGATAGATATATGCAGCTGGTCTCCTTTTAATAAAGGATGCTGACAAAACTGTCGTATAGAATAGAATAATATTTATTACAACACACATCACAACACAACAATGTTGATGCTCAATAAGCGCTAGATTTATAAAAATATGACCATTCAAAAGTGCTTACCTTAAGTTTAATTAAATAAAAATTATTTCTATATTTCTATATTGTTTCAATATTTTTATAATGAAACAAAATATAATCATTACAATAAAACAAAATCGCTGTGGCTGTCTGTCCGTCCCTACGTTGCTTAAATCTTTAAAAATACGCAACGGATTTTGAAGCGGTTTTTATTAATAGATAGAGTGATTCAAAAGGAAGGTTTATTATACATGTATATCCGTGCGAAGCGGGGACGAGTAGCTAGTATAGTATATATTAAATTAATTATCACAAAATCATCACAAAAAACATAGAGCCAGCAACAGTCCAAAATAGACACCACTGGAGAAGAAAGATTAGAAGAGCCGACTCCAAATGGCCGGAAGAAGAAGAATCACAAAATAATTACAATACAAAACATATCCAGATGTCAGAATCAAACATTAAACAATATTTATTTGCATTTATATATATTTTAATTAATATATAATAGATGTAATTAGAAAATGTTTTTTTTAACATATTCCTTATTTTACATACCTAGTTTTTCTTACATAGATTAATAAAAATAAACACCACAAATTCACGTTGATATCGCGTAATCACATAAAAGTACAGTAGAATTGAAATCCTTTTGAAGTTAGTTGAGAAATGACATATCATTAAGGAACGTTTCCAATTTACATAACGAGTTGTACGACGCCCGAAAATCATGGGAACCAGGGATGTATGCATACATACCTATTAGAAGCTGTGATATTTTTTAAGAAACTTTTATGTGAGTAGTAGTATTATATCTATCCTATTATTTACTAGTAGTCCCGGCAATGTTGTTCTGCCACAAAAATAATATTCCAATAAATAGGTGTTGTTGGCAGAAAGATGAAAATTTGAAGTACTTTGTATTTATGGTATGCTAAATTATAATAAACATATTATTTTTTTGTTAAAATAAGAAAAATATCTAGGAGTGAGTCACCCTTATCATTGAGGAGTATAAAAAATAGATGTTGGCCAATTCTCAGATCTACCAGATATGAACACAAAATTTTATAAAAAAAAGCCGTTTCGGAGGAGTTTGGTAACAAACACCGCGACACGAGAATTTTATATATTAGATATATTGTTAACAGGATCGTAACATGAATATAATTTAATGGTAAATAAAGTTATTTCTAAAAAGTTCAGTTTCTGATCATGGCTAGTGCAATCTAGTCGTAACGCCGAGAGAGGTAAATACATCTATTTACCATTAAATTATTCGATTTAAGACCCGGTTAACAATGTAAATAATATACCATTTTTTCAGTAGTTAAGATTTTGATGACAATTCTAATACTCTTATTTTTATCTATCTGTATGTTTTTGCTAATCTCTAAAACAGTTGGACCAATTTTGACGAGGCTATCATTTTCTGACAGCTAATCTGATAAGGATTTTTTTTATAAAATAATTAAAGTTACCTATTAAAATAAAAGTAGCCTAAGTTAAGGCTACTTTTATTTTAATAGGTAACTTTAATTATTTTATAAAAAAAATAATTTCCACGTGAAGTCGTGGGTAAGAGAGAAAAATAAGTTTGTTTGTTTATTTGTAACACTTTACTGTACAGTAAATACATTTAAATTAACTAAACATACAACGATCTTAAAAAAAAAATAAGATTACAACGGCGGATAAGTATGACTATTCGAAAGTGCTTTAAGTTAATTTGAATAAAGAATCTACTATTTTCTATTCTATTCTGTAAAAGTTAGAAATGTGAATACCTATGAATATCTCAACCCTATTTCATAACGTCCTAATCTTAGTTTTATAACCGTTAAAGCCGCTTTAATCCGCCAGAATCCGCTCGAGTCCAGATTAAACTTGTAACAAGTCGCCCAAGTTGGGGGACATTTTTCACAAGTTACTTAATATGTATAATAATTTACGCGCTTCCGAGTTACGACAACTACGGTCGACAAGTGCTTAAAATATACGCCATTTTAATAAATTGACTTGTTAATTAATATATATTATTTTTAATATATTAATTTTTTAGGGTTGTAATAATATTTGCTATTGTATGTTTATTTCTCACAACTATTATAACCCATATTTTTACAATACATTTTTTCCTTTACTTTAGATAGAAGATCAATATATCGCAGAGCATGTTCACTGTTACCAGTGTCAGATAACGACGGCAAGGCAATTTTCCATTAATAGTGCAATAGATATAATGCCATCTGATGATCACAAAATTGTTATTAGAGCTGATAAAACTCCTGTGGGCCAACATGCAGGACATTTTAATGCACCTAATATTGATGAAGTTATGGCAACTTATTCACATAAAGAATATCGTGTATCATAAAGTACTACAATAAAAATAAAAAACAATAATAATAAAAATATGAAATTGTAATATTTTATTGACTATTAAAATAATTTTAGTTGCTTTATAATTTGTATTTTTTGACATAATATAATTATTGACTTAATAACTTTCTTTTATCTTATTGGCTGACCCAGCGTCCTGAATAGTAGAATAAGTATTAAATAAACTAAAAAATTAGAGAATCGACTGTTAGGCATTACGAAGTACGCTAGGTCAGCTAGTATATTAATATATAAAAACTTCATATCACCTTGAATGTCCGATCGGCTATGGAACAATACTGAACCGATTATGATCAAATTTTAAATGTATACCTCGTACGTTTGATTATAGGTACTTATCTATTTTTATATCCCTAAATGATAAGTGTGACTCATCCCAAAACAAAGTCTTTATTTCAGTGACATAACCCTAAATTTTCACCCTTCTACCAACAACCCCTATTTCTTAATTGCGATATTAATTTATTTGTTAGTATAGATAACAGATACGATGTTCTTGTCTTTACTGTCTTTTCTCAGGGACTAGACTATCTGTGTACCAAATTTCATTTAAAACGGTCAGTAGTTTTGGCGTGAAAGGGAGACAGACTGACAAACAGAGTTACTTTCGGATTTATAATGCTAGTAATGATTCCTTATTTTTGTCTTAAATGTTATAAATATATTATTATATGTATGTGAACGAATGAATAATAATTTAATTATTTAAAACCGTAAATCTATAATGTTCCTCTTTTTAATGAATAATGGGGGCTGCCTGAAAACCAGCGCTGTATGGGTGCACCTCATTGAGGTTGTGCTTATCAGCAACAGCTGAGGCAGCTCCTATCCCCAACTTTGAATGTTTTTTTCTTATTTTGTGTATTCTTTGTCATTTGTTAATGTTGGCAATAAATGTTTTATCTATCTATGTGTTGTGTGAACAGTAATTCAAGTAATACGTGCATAGTCGGGATGCAAACATGATGTGGACACGTTCGTGCTAGCTTGTACAATGGTCGGCCATTATCGCTTGTTGTCCACGCAAATACTGAAACATTGATTGCTGGACATGTACCGCACCGGGCCGCCAAATTGCATTACATTATGGTATCAATGATACGATACGCAACGAAACGTAACGTTACGATTTAGTTGTGAGTAGTCATTAATGATAATAATATATTTATTTATCAGAATATGGTATGTAAAATGGTGGTAACTTTCATTTTATTCTGTTGTTTATAGCGTACAAGTCTTAATTCTGTAATCAGAAGCATTATAAATTCTAAACATTAGTCCTTCATAACTTCTTACTTTAAAAACATTATAGAATGTAGTAGAATGTTAATATTTCATTAATTGTCAATATTTGTTATTATTATAAGATATTCTAAACTATAATTAATATTAAAATATTATTAAATGATATAAATAATTGATACTATTTCGAAATATTGTATGCTATATTACTGAACGTGTTTTATAATATTAACTATTTAGTTAATTGCGCAAATAAATAAGTAAACAAATATACATCCATTAGAAAATCATCATGATTGCGCAGATGAAGTTGTAGGTAGAAGTCATGGTATACTAGGTGATCCCGCGATTTCACCCGCATTAAATTTTAATAAAAAATATAGCCTATGTAGTATTCTGATGCATAAGCTATATTACTGTAAAGTTTCATCAAAATCCGTTCAGTAGTTTTTGCGTGAAAGAGTAATAAACATCCATACTCACAAACTTTCGCTTTTATAATATTACTAGCTGTGCCCGCGCTTTCAGCCTCGTTAAAAATCAATAAAAAATATAGCCTATGTGTTATTCTGACGCATAAGCTATTGTTAAAACAGTAGTAGCAAATCTGCTGTGAGTAGTATAATGCTCAAAGTCACAGGCGCCATCCTCAACCACCACTGGTCGACGTCAAATCTAGCGTCGATGACGGCATCAGTCAATCGACCAGTGAGAAGCACCGCTCATCACGCGACACATATGAGCACCAATAAAAAGGGTGGATACTCCACCCCTATGTAATTTCAAAAACGTTAAGTTGTTGCAATAAACGCTTCATGAGGAGAGGTCACAGTTTTATTTAAAAACACTCTTCCTTACCAAAAAACAAATTAACATAATTTCTTGGACCTTCGTACCCGGATCTTCATCAACCAGCAACCAGAGGAGGACAATTGTTGGATAAAAGGCAGCAACAGCACATCAGTATATCGAACATCATCAATAAAGCGCAGTTCGGTAAGACGTACCAGCCAAGATATCCCTCAACCTTCCTCTTCACCTGTGTTAATACTGTTTTTTCAACGTTTCTAGTGTCGTGTGTTAATACTTCACGCAAATTACGATCGGTGCTAGTGACTACAGTCAACGGTCAACGCTTCAAATTTCGCAAACGTGAGTACTCCATTTTCATACCACACAACCCCAATGATGGATCAGGCTAATTTATCAGTTCCCGTAAAATCCCCTACTAGATCTCCTAATAAAACTAGTGAATTAAGTCTATATATACGCAAAAGAGGCGTCATTAAAGGTAGGCTAACAAAATTGGATAAATACATAGAATCAGTCCTTTTACAACCGTCTTCATTCAAAAAAGCCGAATTCAAATTACGCATACAAGGCGCATCTTCTCTATTAACCGATTTTAATGAAGTTCAGTCTAAAATTGAAGAGTATTCTGATGATATCGATGAACAATTAGAGCATAGGGAAGAATTTGAAACAAATTATTACGGTGTGATTGCTAGGGCTGATGAGTTGCTATCTGGTGACAAATCTACCGAAGATTCTCATAAAGGATCTCTTAATTTAATGAAATTGCCGACCTTATCTTTACCTTCCTATGACGGTTCCTTTGAAAATTGGCTGGAGTATAGGGATTGTTACCTATCACTAATACATAACTCCAAAGAAATAAGCGCAATACAAAAATTTCATTATTTAAAATCATCATTGAAGGGTAGCGCTGAATTAGTTATAGACTCACTAGAGTTTTCTGCAGCTAACTATTCCGTTGCATGGGAGTTACTCGTAAATAGGTATGATAATAATAGATTACTTATTCATAACCACGTTAAAGCATTATTTTCAATCCAACCATTGACAAAGGAATCACCAGAGTTATTGAGAAAGCTTATCGACACTGTACTTAAGAATATACGCGCATTAAAAATTCTCGGTGAGCCTACTGAACATTGGGACACACTAATTATTTATATAATCGTTTCAAAATTCGATCCCATCACAGAACGCGAATGGGAGCAACACAAAACACTATTATTTTCAATTAACACCAGTGATTCTCAATGTCGGTTGAAACTTCAAAATTTGCTTGATTTCGTTGGTCGTAGGGCGGACATGTTAGAAACGTTAATAGTGTCAAACAAACCGATGCACAATAATATTAAAAAACAACACATTAATCAGTCGCAAAAGATACACTGTAACGTTTCTTCCATGTCCACAAATAAACCACAACAAAATACAATTACACACTACAAATCCTGCCCTATGTGTCATTCCAAACATCCATTATATTCATGCCAGCAGTTTTTAAATCTATCAGTTTTAGATAGATGTAAAATAGTCACACAAAATAAATTATGCGAGAACTGTTTACGCTTAGGACACTCGGCTACTGACTGTCGATTCGGTCCATGTCGGCACTGTTCGTGTAAACATAATACACTATTACATCGAGATGACACACACTTGCAACGAGAGGTTACTGATGGAGGCACGCAAAATAACGCTTTAACGTTATTCACATTAGATAACAAATCGCATGCACAGGTGTCGACTAATAGTGAACCGGTCTTGCTATCTACTGCAGTTCTTGGCGTACGGGACAAAAGTAAAAACTATATCAGCGTCCGCGCGCTTCTCGATAGCGGCAGTCAGCGGTCGTTCATAACACAATCATTATGCAATAAAATAAACGCACAATTAATACAGTCCACTTATAACATAAAGGGTGTAGGCAGCGCCGTTAGTGCACACAGACTTGTAACATCAATATCAGGTCCCTGTGTAGCTCCTATACTACCAATATTCAATGTTTAGTGCTACAACATATAACAACAAAGTTACCATCAACATCAATAAATATAAGTAATATTTGCATTCCTTCTCATATACAGTTAGCGGACGCAAAATATTTCGAGTCACAATCGGTCGACATCCTATTGGGTGCCGATTTATTCTGGGATCTCCTTGATGAAGGAAAGATTCGTCTTGAAAATGGTCCATTTATACAAAACACAAAATTAGGATGGATCATTTCGGGACCTATATATACGCACACTCCTAAATACTCACAAGTTTCATGCAATTTTACTCACACATTAGACTCACAGTTGCGTAAATTCTGGGAACTTGAGGAATTACCGAGGGTCACTAATGTCCTCAGTATTGAGCAAAGGGCTTGTGAGGAACGCTTTACAAGTACCACAACGCGCACAGAGGAAGGCAGGTTTTGTGTGCGCATACCTTTCAAGGATAGTCCTAAATTATTAGGTGAATCATACTCTCAGGCACTGAATCGATTTTATGCACTTGAGAAACGATTACAACGCACACCCGATTATAAACAATTATACATTTCATTTATGCGGGAATACATTGAGCTGGGGCATATGTCACGAATACACACATACAATACTCCACACTACATAATGCCACATCATGGTGTTTTTCGCGCCCATAGTACCACAACAAAACTACGGGTTGTATTCGACGCAAGCGCAAGTACCACCTCGGGTAAATCGCTTAACGATTTACAACTTGTAGGTGCACCTATACAAGGCGATCTAACTGCCATATTATTACGCTTTAGGCAACATCGGTGGGTGGCATGCGCAGACATCGAAAAAATGTATCGTCAAGTGTTGGTACATAACGATCACCGTGACCTACAATTAATATTGTGGCGCGAAAATCCCACTGATGAGATAGGTATATACCAACTCAACACTGTGACATACGGCACAGCATCAGCCCCATTTCTTAGCGTTAGGTGTTTGAAAGAATTAGCGTCTACAACTACAAATACAAACATTAGTAGAATTATACGCGAGGATTTTTATGTAGACGATTTAATTACTGGTAACTCTGACAGCAAAGATAATTTAACTCACACATGTAACGAGATTAGTCGGATTTTGATGACAGGTTGCTTTCCATTACGCAAGTGGATATTTAACTACAAAGAGGACTCGTCATCAACACCATCACATAACTCACACGCTTCAAAGGAGTTATCACTCGGCGATAATGTGCACCAAAAAACATTAGGCCTCGGTTGGTGTAATCAATCTGACACATTTAACTTTCGTACAGAATTCAAAATCGATTATGAAATATTAACTAAACGCGTCATATTGTCAAAGGTTTCTAAAATTTTCGATCCGTTAGGCATGCTTAGTCCTTTTATAATTATCGCAAAGATTTTATTACAAAGGCTATGGTTATTGAAAGTTGGCTGGGATGAACCGCTACCCAATGACGTCACTCACCAGTGGTTGCGATTTGTTGATAGCATTCCATTACTTACGAAAATAAATATACCGCGACACGTAATAGGTAACAATTCATTACGCATAGAATTGCATATTTTTACAGACGCATCACAGGTTGCTTATGGAGCTTGCGCATACGTGCGCAGTATAGGTAACGATAATAAGATTACAGTCCGATTGTTATGTTCAAAAGGAAAGGTCGCGCCTATAAAACCCACCAGTATTCCGCGTCTCGAGCTCTGCGGAGCTTTGTTAGGTGCTAGGCTATATGAAAAAATTAAACAGTCACTACGATGTAATTTTAGTAATATAGTCTTTTGGACCGACTCGACTATTGTTCTCGCTTGGTTACGAATGAATCCTAACTTGTTAAAACCATTTGTACAAAATAGGACGGTTGAAATACAGGAGTTAACGCGCGATCATTCATGGCGGCATATATGTGGTAGCCAAAATCCAGCGGACATAGTATCCCGCGGTGCCTACTTAGATACACTACACACTAATGATTTATGGTGGGAGGGACCGCCTATTTTAATTGATTCAAAGTATAACTCATCAACCATTTGTTGTAGTGAGAATGAGGACAGTTCAGGTCGTCTGTTGTCTGATTTACCCGAGGTTAAATCAAATTCAGTTCATATTTATCACATAACACAAGATTTGAGTTGGTTTCCTTTTAATAGATTCTCACAACTCAATCGCATGATACGCGCCTGTGCGTATATTTTACGCTTCATAAATAACACACAAATTAAAAATAATAAACGGACAGGTGTACTGAGTGTCGATGAGTTGAGTGAATCACAACAAAGGTTAATACATTTTGTTCAATTGGAATCCTACTTTGACATTTACACTACATTAATAAAAAATAATCAATTAAATAATTCGCACAATTTATCAAATTTAAATTTATTTCTAGATAAAAATAATTTAATTAGAGTAGGTGGTCGGCTTAGTAATTCTACTTCATTTACTTACGACAAAAAACATCCCATATTATTATCAGGCAAACATCAATTTACCATACTACTGTTTCGTGCGGAACACAAACGTCTACTGCACGCAGCGCCACAGGCTCTCTTGTATGCGATAAGAGAGGTATGGTGGCCGATTGGTGGGAGAAATATTGCCAGACAAACCGTACATAATTGTGCTAGATGCGCTCGCTTTCGTGCTAAACCGCTAACACCTCTTATGGGTAATCTTCCTGTGCAACGGGTAACCCCTGGATTTCCATTCATGTGTTCTGGAGTCGATTACATGGGTCCGGTTTATATTTTAAATCGCAAGGGCCGGGGAGCACGCGTTATAAAGGCATATGTTGCAATTTTCATTTGTTTTACTACTCGCGCAGTTAATTTAGAATTGGTAGGTGATTTGTCAACAGATGCGTATTTATTAGCTCTCAAACGATTTATTTCTCGCCGTGGTAAACCATCTGACATGTTTTCAGACAACGGCAGAAACTTTGTAGGACTCATGAATGAATTTCAAAATTTTCTCTCTAATTGTTCACAAGATATTATTAACTACGCTATTAGTCAAAAAATTAAATTCCATTTCATACCTCCTTATTCTCCTCATTGGGGTGGTCTGTGGGAAAGTGGTGTACGCTCATGCAAGAATGTATTGCGACGCGTAGTCGGTAACTTGCATTTAACATATGAAGAGTTCAATACGGTATTAACACAGGTCGAAGCTGTTTTGAACTCCCGTCCACTTAGTCCTATGTCCACAGATCCTCATGACTATTATCCCTTAAGCCCAGCTCATTTCTTGGTCGGTCGTCCGCTGACTGCGCCGCCGTGCTCTGATGTTCAAGACTTCACGCCATCAAACTTGACACGATATCAACGGGTAGAACAAATACGCCAACATTTTTGGACAAGGTGGTCCAAAGAATATATATCTGAGATGCAAATAAGGAACAAATGGAAAACTCGCCAAGCAGACCTGAAGCCAAACACCTTAGTGCTCATTAAGGACGACCACTTACCTCCATTAAAGTGGCGTTTAGGACGCATCATTTCCACTCTCCCGGGCAAAGACGGGGTATCAAGAGTCGCCGACATAAGGACGGAGACCGGCATCGTTAGGCGGGCATTCTCTAAAATATGCCCTCTTTGGAACGAAGAAGAAGAATTGAAAGTGGAACCTTCCAAGGCCGGGGGCATGTTAAAACAGTAGTAGCAAATCTGCTGTGAGTAGTATAATGCTCAAAGTCACAGGCGCCATCCTCAACCACCACTGGTCGACGTCAAATCTAGCGTCGATGACGGCATCAGTCAATCGACCAGTGAGAAGCACCGCTCATCACGCGACACATATGAGCACCAATAAAAAGGGTGGATACTCCACCCCTATGTAATTTCAAAAACGTTAAGTTGTTGCAATAAACGCTTCATGAGGAGAGGTCACAGTTTTATTTAAAAACACTCTTCCTTACCAAAAAACAAATTAACAGCTATATTACTGTAAAGTTTCATCAAAATCCGTTCAGTAGTTTTTGCGTGAAAGAGTAACAAACATCCATACTCACAAAATTTCGCTTTTATAATATTACTAGCTTGTACTGCGGTTGCATCCGCGTTAAATTTCAATAAAAAATTATAGCCTTTGTGTTATTCTGATGCATGAGCTATTACTGTAAACTTTCATCAAAATCATCAAACATCCATACTCACAAACTTTCGAGCTTACAATATATTGAGATTAATCATTGAATAGGCAACCGGTTGTGGTATATCCCTAGCCAGTACCGAGTTCTCTTTCATTAATTCATCTGCAACTGGAGCACACAGCGATATATGTTTCCTTTGTGTTATACAGACTATTAAATACACGGCTTTGTCTGTCACAAGGCAGACACGTGAGCACTAGAGAAAATTATCTATATAATTATTTATCTTTATTTATATAGAAAGTCGTGTTAGTTACTCCACTTATAACTCAAGAACGGCTGAACCGATTTAGCTGAAAATTGCCAGGGAGGTAGTTTAGAGCCAGGACAAGGACATAGGATACTTTTCATACCATTCGACAGTATTCCCGTGTGACTTGACATGAAACGTCATTCACTATAAAACGTGGTATAACAAAATTCTATAAAATTATATCATTATATGAAGGGAAATTGTTTTTATAATATTTATTCCATAAAATAATTCATATTACATAATAATAATAATCTCAGGATAATTCATACAGCGCCATCTAGCCTCAAGTTGTGTTATGGGGGTACTAGATATCTGATACAAATAAAATAGATATAGTTTTTTTTCGTAAATACATACTTATTACATAGAAAACTCACAGACCGATACAAACAATCATACTCATGAATACAAATGTTTGTGCCCTGCGAGGGATCGAACCTGCAACCATCGGAAGTATAGAGGTGTGCTAAACCGCTAGACTACCGAGGCCGTCGATATTAATTATTTTAGATTTAGTCGTTACGGTAACCGTTTACGATCAGATGGGCAGTATGCTTGTGTGTTGTCATCATAGTAAAAAAATATATATATTGTGAATACGAAAATGTCTGTCTTATATAGTAATAATACATATTTATACATTTTGGCGACTGTTTGTAATTTGATGAAAAACTTAACTCAGGTAGAGACTAACGAAGAAAGATTCATCCGTGAAAGAAAGGATCTGCAGTCCCAAATAATTCCTAAATTCACAATAGTTACACACAGTACGAAATATCAAGCTGTAAAATTGTTTAATAATTTACCAATACATCTAAAAACTGTTTATAATTTCACATTGTTTAAGACCAGATTAAGGACGTTTATATTGAATAAGTGTTACTATGGTCATCGATATAATAGTCATACTTATAAGACTTATGAGGACCTACTAGACTCTGCTATCTGATATACCGAGATTTAAGTTGCTATTATATTGTTGACAAAAATTTACTGTAATGTTACTATCATGTTATCCTACACAATTTGTTTTGTTTTGGATGAATAAATAAATAAATGAAAATAATTTTATTGATATATTGACATATATGTATATATTATATCATAATTGTTATTTGAAAGGGGGCGATATAAGACATGGAAGTGTGAGCAGTAAAAGAACCAAAATAATTGCTAGTAATATTATTTGTTCGCTTCGGTTTTCTAGAGATTTAGTACAGTCTTACTTCTGATACTCTCGGGTTCAATTCCTCACACGGTGAGTATGATTGTTTGTATCAGTCTGGGTGTTTTCTATGTATATTATGTATGTATTTACAAAAAAAAATTATCTATGTATTTGTATCAGGTGTCTAACATCCGTAACACAAGTTCTGCTTAGCTTGGACCTAGATGGCGCTGTGTGAATTGTCCTGAGTTACTATTATTATAAAGTAACACGCATAAACGGCCATGTATGATATAATATGTAAGTAAACTTACTTGATCTTTGTATAAATCATTTTAATCCCACAAAAGTCAAAAGTTAACCTTGTCAGTTTTAAGGGCCTACCCTCGGCCGTATTTCACGGTTCGGGAGACATTCCACGGCCCTCTTGAACCGGAACAAATGGTTACATATCACTGCCTGCTACAGCCCTTCCACCGCCTTCAAAATAGTGGCTTTTTACCAGAATGATGGCAATCAAACGAACAAATGGTAAAGTCAGGAAGACAGGAATTATTTGCTATTCACAGTATTACAAACTCTACTCTTTCGCCCATCAATATAATTGTAAAAGCATACAATAATAAATAAAATAAATAAATGACCCTGGACCATATTGATCCAGCGCCATCTAGTCCCACGGTAAGCAGAGCTTGTGGTATGGGTACGAGACAACTGATACATATATTTTTTGTAAACGCATACATAATATACACAATAAATACCTCATGAATACAAATGTTTGCACCGTGCGAGGATTAGAACCCGCGACCATCGGAAGTACAGCGTTGAGTTTAACCGCTAGACAACCGAGGCAGTCACAATACTGTAATTTTTGCTACTAGACCAACATTATTTAAAAAGAAGGTTGCTAAGAACTTATCAAACACCCACTTAATTTAATATGTAACCAATTCTTTATTTTCATTTTTTTTATTATTTACGCTTTCTTTATCATCTTCTACTTCTGCCCCGTCAGCGTATACATTTAACGTAGGCGCTTACTAACCACCGCCACAGCCATCACGCTATCATGTGATGCCATTCCAGAGGGCAGGCGGGTGCATCATACCATTATCATCAATAAAAAAAAGTATATTCCTGTATAGGAAAATGTCTTCCGCAATTACAAAACATACCATTATCTATACATATAAATAAAATTGGAGTGTCTGTTTGTAATATTGAAATAACCAGTTTTTACTACATGCATATGAATATAAATACGGTACATACACCAAAATAACATTTTTTACTATTTTTGTCTGTCTGTTTGTTTGTGCCGGCTATTCTCAGAAATGGTTGGATCGATTTCTACGGGATTTTTTTGGCAGGTAGCTGATATAATAAGGAGTAACTTAAGCTACTTTTATTTTAGAAAATTTCTCTAATTAAGGTTTTTGTTAAATCCACGCGGACGAAGTCGCGAGTGCAGCTAGTCAATCCTAAAAAAACATAAAGATGTTCCCGTAAGTTTCTGCGAAAAGAATACAAATATCCACATAATTTGTCACATCGCAGCTAAATCCCGGAAATGTCTGTTCTGTGATACAGGAACATTCACTTTGGCACAAATTAAAACGGCATCCAAAATTCCCTTTGAAGTTAGGCTCCCGTAGTTCCTATTGCATTCCGTTTCAGATAAAGACAGCTCTACATTTCTGCAAAACGGTAAATGTGCACTACACCTGCAGTAATCTAGCAGGGTTGTCGATACTATAATTCTCTTTTAAGATAGTTATGGTTTTCAGTACTGTAATAAAGAGTAACACGCTAGTTTCTTGTTCTTTTTGACATAACTGAAAATCAGCGCTGGAAACTATGTTTCAAGCATTATGCTGAGTTGTGGTCCACATTGACTAAGTTTTTTAATGTGTAAATTGTTGCTTGTATTTCTTATGTTATTATTGCGTAAAACGAATAAATAAAATTTTATTTTATTCTATATTCTATTCTATTCTTCTTGTGATAAGTCTGCGTTCCGAATGAGTGATAGAATCAAAAATAATTAAAATGCTTATATTGAGTTTAAGTGCATAAGTATTATTTCTATTTCTTACTCTTCATTTAGGTCTTTGGTGGTTCCGCGGTTTAGCACATCGCCTTACTTCTGATGGTTGCAGGTTCCATTCCTCGCACGGTGCAAATATTTGTATTCCTGAGTATCATTGTTTGTATTGTGTCTGGGTGTTTACTATGTATGCTTTTACAAGAAAATGTATTAAAGTACAACTATTAGTCGTACCAATAAACTAGATGGCGTTTTGTAAATCGTCCTGTATTTATTGCACATGTTATCATGTGACACCAGTGTTACCACTCATAATTGCCATTAAGGAGGTCTAAGGCATCATGCCTCTTATCCTGTAATTTATTATTAATTAACTGGATATACTGATATTATGTCACTTGAGACCAAGTTGCCATTGTACAAAATTCTAGGAAATTACAAGTAAATATGTCTAGGATATGGAAATCGACTAACTATTCATTAGGTTGCATTTGTTATTATGAATGTTTATATAGTATTCAATAGATTATTATTATTTAATTTTCTTTCTTCGACCAATATAGGGTGGTATGTCACATACATACCAGTATATACACACTCTTGTATATATTTATATTATCGTGGTAGTTATACTACAATGTGGAAAGAACTTCTCATTTCTAACAAGGCTAAAAGTATAACTGCTCTTTACCAACCCTGCGACATAGTATGATCGTGGATGTTCCTTTGACCGCATACCATTTTTATTAAGTTTCAGTTTCAGTATTTTCCAACTGATTTCAGAGAGAAGGATGTCAATTAGATGACATGGGATTTTGTTTGAAAACTGAATAAACGGTTGACATTATATAAATATTTGGTATGTTTATATACATAGTATATTTAAAAGGTGACTTTTCGAGTTTCGCAGCCAACATACGTTCGATTTTTGAATTTTTATTGTTTTATTTATTATATTGTTAATGTGTTGGTACACATGTTCCGAACATATATTCCCAGTTTCTAGCACATAGTATATTTATTTTGTTTTTGATAAATAAAAATGTTAGACGAATTTCTCTTGGCCTGCTTTTATTCGGTTATTTTTTGGGTCGGTAAATCCATCTGACAGAGAGGCAATTCAAATCTTATATTAAACAATTTTTATGTAAGAAAGCCTATTACAGGATAGACGAA